CCATCTGCATCCACATCTGCAGGAATCTGCCAGCACACCCCAGAAAATGTAAAACAATTCAGAAAATCTCCAGTGAATGCCAGCCAAAATGATGAAAAGACTAGAGAAGCATCCACATGAGGCCAGACTTTGAAACAAGGCAAAATACTTTCCAAATTGGGAAAGAAAAGGATTAAGCTATAATATGACTCAGGTTAAATAAATGATATGAGAATTAAATCACACTCTTAGCATACTTATCTACTAGAATATCTATCATTTTCAAGGAAAGTATGCCTTATAATTTGAAAGAGGTAGTTTTTAATACTTAAAGGAATTAGTCATTACTTTGCACTGTGATTAGTAATTTCTAGGTTCATTAGTCAAAAAGATAATATATGATAATAATTTAATTAAGTCCCAGAAATGGTTACCTAATTCTGTGGATTATACAACTATTTCATGTTACCGAATGAATCTAAGTTATTTAGAACAATATCCCCAAATTTTCAAGTTTGAGCAAAATGCAAACTGGTAGTAATGATTTTTGATACTTTTTGGAGACAGAATATTGGGCTAGCTGGACCTCTGATTTGACATAGTGAAATACTATGCATGTTTCACAAAGGGGCCCTCAGCTTTCCCTGCTATGAAGACAACACAGCATCTAATTTTGAGACAGGCAATTATATCTAGATAAACATTTCACTCTTCTGGAAGCATTGCGATAATTATTTTACAAGCAAATAAGTACGTATAATTTAATACATTAAACATTATTAAATCACAACTGTCGACAAAAGATGAATTGGGAATTTCATTTTTTTAAGCTGTTGTATGTAGACAATGAATACATAAACTCCCTGAGGCTCACTTAAATATTACATATTAAACTGAAACTAATTCCAATGATTCTTTAAAAACTGGGAAGTCATTTTGCCTTTCTCTTAATAACTGGAAAGGTAGTAAAGACTAGGGCAAGAAGACATAAGTAGTAAAGACTAGGGCAAGAGGACTCTGCTAATTTCAGGTAATCATTAAGTTCTCAACAAACTCAATTTCTTTAACTTACAAAGTGGAGAAGAGTCAATCCTCCCACTACACACAGAATCTTTTGTTACCTCCATGTGGAAAAACTATCATCTTAGCTCATACATACCATAAGTTCTTCCTATATTTTAAGATCCTCCTTAGAGCTCCTTACTTCATTCTACTGGCGACACTGTGGCCAGGATGAAACAAAGCTACTGAGGGACAAGAACTGGCTTACCTCCTGTTAAGTCACTTCACAGCCCAATTTATATTTCCATTCACTCCCTAATTAACAAGTATAAAATAAAAATTTCCTATTTTGAGTTTTATTTCCTTCCTATGTCTTTGATCTCTTCTTAGTGAAACTGCTAGTCAGTGACCCAAGAGAGAAAAAGCAAAGAGAAACAGAAATAGAAATTCAACAGAGAAATCATTTGTGTGTTATAGGCACTACTTTAACACAGAGACACTCTGAGATATTTTTAAAGTATACAATTCAAGAATGAGATAAATTATTTCCTCCCCTCATTATCAGAAATAAAAGGGACTGAAAGTAGAAGAGTTTAAAAAATAAGATTCATGGAAACTTCTGCTGTAAAATTCATTTGTCCAGGAGCTTTTACATTAAATAAGAACCGTGTATTTTCAGTGATGACTCAAATGGGACGCAAATCGACACAAATAATTTCACCATGAATATAGAAAAAACATCAATGCAAAATATCATTTATGTTTTAAGATGGTCTATCTAGCAACAAACTTAATTTTAGGCTAAGGATATAAATTTTGGTTTTCTCATGAACTCATTTTATGGTTAAAGTCCAACAATAGTATATCTTGGACAAGGTTAGCAACACAGAGGAAAGGAAAAAAAGAAAAACATTTCAGGAATGTCAGATTTTACACAAAGCACATCATATCCCTTTCCATATGACATCAAGTTTAGTAGCTTCAGGAAGCAGAGAAAAAAATACTGTCCCTGATGTCTGGCTTTTAGTATATAAATGTAACGTTATTTCAAAGAAGATAGTTTGGTGCCTTAGTTTTACTCCATAGGTTTATAAATTCTCTTTTTCCCAATCTGCCAGTTACATCTGCAGCCCAAGAATTTCTTCCCAAAAGAATGAAGGACAAACAAGAAAAAGAATTTGCTGATACACATATGTCACTTCAAGAATTCTCTTGACAAAGTCTCCACACCCAATTTAATTACTTCCCTACTATAAAAACACTTTCCATCTGCATTTATTCTGATCATTTCAAATCCAAAACCAACATACTATAAAGTTAACTAAATAAAATGAATATTAGCTTTAGGTTCCAAGTGAGGCAGCATTTTTTAGGCAGTAGGTCTCCAGCTCACATTTTACGTGGATACAGTATTTTGTTTTGCAATCAATTCTTTACTTGATATTTGTTTAGAATAAAATTACCCAGTCCCGGGCTTTAAAGCTTTAAATCTCAGTCTGAATCTCTCTCTGTCTCTCTCTTTCTGTTTCTCTCTCTCTCTTTAATAAACACACACACACACACACACAGAGAGAGAGAGAGGCAGAGAGAGAGAGAGAGAGACAAAGAGAGACAGAGAGAGAGAGACAGGGAGAGGAGAGAGAAAATATATATGTTTGTGGTACTTAATGAGCAAAAAAGAATGTACCCTTATACGTATGCTTAAAGTAATGCTGCCTAGTGTCTACATCAGAGACATTTTTCTTGTTTGGTTGTCTTTTGTTTTGTTTTTTGACAGGTTGCAAAAACTGAACCTCAGTATATGCATATAATAAATGCTATTTTAAACAATCCTTGATGTGTTCACTATTCAGTAAATTCTTGTATCCTTTTTGTGCAGAGTGCTCTTCAGTATATCTTTATTCTCTCCTTGGTGTTCCATCAATACGTTAACTAAGTGCCAGTTCTGGAACTCTTAGACCTAATATTGGTGTATAATTACAGGATCCAAGAACAGTCACATTTTTATGTTACTGATAGCTACTGAGCAGAAAGTGGAGATTGGCCCTTGTACCACAGGTCAGGAGAGGAGACCAGTCACTATCAAAATACCTGAACCAATAAATGACTCTAGGTCTTCTGGAAGGTCTTTCCACCTCACATTTTTAGAAAAATTATTTTATCTGTCTGCTTGTTTTTGATATCACAAAGTTACAAAGTTCTTAGAAATTGATTTGCCTGATTTTACCCATTTATATTACAGATGAGGAAACTTTAAGCAGCAGCTAATCCATGGCAACTAACTGCTGATTTCCAGGAACTCTGGCAACTTTTCAATTTACAGACATTTATTATTAAATGACAAATAAATTTTTAAAAGTCTTTAAAAATAACCATTATTTTTCTTAAAATAAAATTGTATATTTAAGGCCATGGGGGATGGGATTTTCTAGATAAAAAAGAAAGATCTAATTCCAAGTTTAAACACACTGAGCTCTGAACTCTTTATTTCTTCTCCAACTTACTGATACCAACTATGAACAATGAATCAGTTTGATTCCTTTCCATGAGTTTAAAACTTACTTAAACATAAATTATCTGTCCAAAAATCCTGAGTAGCCTCAAGGCTAAAAAATTTTGATATGAAATATTAATAATAAGGATGATTATATTGCTCTGTTTTTCCTAATTCCCAAGATCAGCTGCTTGCAAAAATTATCTAATTACATATACCATCCTTACAAAGCAAGTCATAGGTAGGTCACTCACATAGGTCAGCCAATACTTAGGAAGAGAGATGACTCCAAGGAATAGATCCCCAGCCTTCTCTTCTCTTTGCGTATCCTAGAACTACTCTGCTTTGTAGGGAAAAATTTAATGGTTCATCCATTTCCTAATGCTCCAGTAATCTAAAATTAGTTCCATGTTGATAGCAAACAACACAGAACAAAAATCAAAGATCAAAAATCTGATATCGCATCATATGCTCTTCATGATCCAAAGAGAAAAACCATATATGATCATTTTAATATAAATATGTACAGGAATCAATTATAGGATTATCACACTGCCTAAAACAAAGCAAGAGTTATTCAAACTATAAGTGGACTATACATAAGATACACTTACTCTACAAAAAGAAAAACATAGTGGCCGTTAACATTTTACCTATATCTGCAATGTGCTGGTGTACCATGAAAATCACTACATGCATCACATGCTGGAGTGAGTAGGATAAAAGAAACCAAGACCCATCTCTTAATTGAATAAAAATTTCCTAATGTAACAGGTTAAGTCATATCACTCAACATAGTAAGGACATGCGTTGTTTATTGGCATAGTATTGACAATACGTTTACTTATCCATTTAAAATTGTAGCCTGGACTTTGAAATGAAAGTAACGAAAATGTGTAGGTCTGAAAAACAGTCTGTTGCATCTGGTACAACCACAAACAACTAAATGGTGCTAAATTCCTATATGAAGTCGTCTGACCACTTTAATTCATCATTTCCACAGGCTCCAAATAACCAAAAAGAGAATGCCAAGTTAACTGAGTTTCCTAAGTTGATAACATTCTCAAAATCTAGCAATGTTTCATTGCAAAGAAAAAAAATATATATATATATATCTATGTATATATATATATATATGTATATATATATATATATATACACATATATATATATATGGTAAACACAGGCTTGACAGTTATTCAGTGTCTGGCATAATTTTAGATTCAAAACATTATAAAAAGAGATTAGAAAAAAAATTAAGATTAACTTAATGCCAAGGGATTTTTTTTCATGTATTTCTAGAGATATCTCTACTATTGTTCCTTAAAACTGACTTCAATCAGTCCTTTTTACTAATATTATGATCAGTGGTACGCTAGCCAGCATGATATACAATTTCCAGAAAGATTAGTTCTTCAAGAAGCTCAACGTTTCAAATCACAGTCATGTCTCACGTATAACATCTTACTAGTGCACCAAAACTGCAATTCTCCTTAGAGGAGTCTTGGTCTTTATTTTACTGTACCTGGAATTCTGAGGTTCTGAAACATCTGACTCTGTGCACGTTTTCTTTACCTGTAAGAAAGGAGTACTAGTTATTCTCATATGAAAGTACAACTTCCTCACTCAGGTTCATACGCTTGTTAAAGTGGATACAGCTCTGTTCACCAAGTTCTCTATAAAATACCCCACACACTTTACAGCAGCAGCATACAGTACTAAATAGTTTATTTCATTATTATCCCATGAGCAGCTGCCAAATGCACTTCCCTAGACTCCATTAGTATGTAAAATGTTCAGCTGAAATAACTGGGGACAAGCCTAACTAGGAACAAAGAAACCAAAGAACCAGGTTTCCCGCTTAAGAACTAGAAAGCTATGCTGTTCTCAATCCACTAAGAAATGTTTTTCCAATTGATACTGCTTCTGTCTCCTGCTAAAAGCACATAATAATAAACACCAGGTTCTGGGGCAAAGCACAGCCTTAACTAAAATGTTCATACATTAATTTTCATTTTCTCAATCTAGTGGCTGTATGTTTTATATCTGTCTCAACATATCAATTAAGTTTAGCACTGCTTCATACATACATTTTCAGTATGTCTTGCAGTCTATATTTCAACTTTGTGGTTTTTAACCCACAGAGGTAAAGGATGAGAAAAACTCATACTTCTAGGGCATGCTATCTATTTCTGGACAAATGTATGTGGTACATCCTCTACAAGATGGTAAAATCCATAACTTTTCACAATTTCACTTTAAGCACATATGCCTATGCCTGATTATTAAGTTCTTAAAATTATATGCAGAGTAGACTAAACTTCCAAAATCTTTTGGTTAATATGAAAATGTACAATATACACTTACAAGCTCACTATTTCTGGGTGTTCATATTTCAATGACCTACTTATGCAACCTATGTAATCCAAGAAGTTTTATTTCCAATACGTGGTTTGGAAGCAAAAAAAAATTCTACTGAATATATACCATGGGGAACGCTTGTGCAATGTGAATTGCAATATGAATACTACCACTTAAAAGTAAGTCAAGCTTTGAAGATACAGCATTGTCTTACCAACTCATGAAGTAATTTTTTCCTCCTCTGTCCCAGAAGAATGCTTAAAAATACAAACACACAAAAAACCCTACATTTTCAAAAATCCCTCTTTTGCTTTTAATACAAAGTCTAGACATTTTTATAATCTGGGAAATCAATTATTTTCTTGATTAACACTGTAGTCTCTTTTGTATCTTGTGTATACACTTTATACAATATGAAAATAAAACTGACTAGCAAAGAGACTGTCATCCTGTCTTATTATGTAATGTCTTCTATGCCCTTAACATGGTAATCAGCACCATGAAAGGTAGGGCAAAAAAAAAAAAAAAAATGGTTTGAGAGAGAGAAGAGGAGAAGGAAAAGGAGGAAGAGGTAGAGAAGGAGGATGAGGACGGGAAAAAGGGGGAAAAGGAGGAGAAGAGGAAGAAAAGGAAAAAGAGAAAGAAGAGGAGGAGGAGAAGAGGAAAAAGGGGAAGAAAGATGGAGGAAGGAAAAGGAAGGAAGGAAGGAAGGAAGGAGGGAGGGAGGGAGGGAAGAAGAAGGATAAGGAGAGGAAGAGGAATAAGGAGTAGCAGGAGAAAAGGGGAAAGGTGTGGAAAAGGGGAAAGGGGAGAATACTTTTTAAAAATGTAAACATAAAATTCAATCCAAAACCCACAAGTCTTATGTCTGTTAAATTTGTCTGAGGAAAACAAGAATTAAAAGGAAAGGAAAGTGTTTCCCACTGGTTCTTACCTATGATTTATCACCAAAAAAACTACATGAACTGCCCAATGAATACACAGAAATTATCCCCAGGTGAATGCCATTTTCTCAAGACCATGATGACTGGACCTTGGGACTGGCTGAGGAAGCTCCAGACCACCACAAACTAGACATATGCTCCCAACTGAAAGTCAGAGCCAGACAAGCTTCCTTTCATGTAACTTTTTTTAGTCTTTAACACTCACAGCTTTCCAAAGCATAATGACCCCAAAGAACTTACCAGAAAATTCTGCTTGTTTTAATTTATTCTCAAAGTAGCAACAGTAAAGGCAGAGAACACATGTACAGGGTTTTTGCTATCTAGTACCCAGAGTCCCAAACTTGTAACTAATGCTTAATAGGCATGTGATGAAAGAATGAATTAGAAATTCTTTTAGATATTAGAATAACCATTAATCAAAATGTTTATTTTTAGGGGTTTCATTCGCTTGTTCATAGTCAGATGAGAGAAGAATAATATTTAGGATACCATGACTACTCTATGGGAAGTCTATTTAAAGTATTGTTGAGTATTCATAGAACAAACTAAGCCAGCCAAAGAAAGATGGAGAAGGCCATGAAAAAAGTGAGTTCTGAATTGAGTCTTCAAAGACTAAATGTGGAAAATGGTAGGTATTTCAGTGTCAAGAAGTTTGCCAGGGCACTTATATAAGGTCAAGAATTTGGAATTTAACCTTTGGTCAGTGAAGACCATTGAAAGGTTTTAAGAAAGAAACTGGGTAGGGATGCTATAGAAGCTAATGTGGAAGGAGAACGAGGTGAGGGCTGAAAGTCGGGAAAAGCCTAATGCAACAAGAGGGATAGTAGGCGTTGGATGAAGGCAGAGATGGCATTGATCTGGTACATCATTACATCTCCAGCCCTGAGTAGGTGTTCCCCAAATGCTACTTTCAACCATTCAATCTTCAATCTGTCAGTGAGAGATGGTGAAGACCCAAATTAAGACAGGAGCCATGGGGTGAATTGAGAGGGTTTTTTTGACAAACAGTTCTGAGATAGAATTGACAGAATATTGTAACTGACTGAAGTATTAAGTAGAATAGTAGCAGATCTTTTAATCTGTATTTGTAAAGAAAATTTAGATATACGGAAGAAAAAAAAAGTTATTTTATGACATCCTCAAATTACTTCAAAACCTTACCTTATTTCTGAATTAAGGTAGAGAAGTTAAAGGAATTATTAAGAAATGTATTTCTAGTGTTTTGATCATGGAGTTTGACGCAATGGATAGTTTTACCTAATTTGAACACAAATGGCAACTGCTGAAACATATATGATATACAAGAAAGGATATTCTTACAAAACGTATATAATTTTCTGTCTTCAATGACTATCAATTTAGGCAGAAGTGCAGTAGCTATTAATAGGAGCAATCATGGTACACTACAGTCTCAAACTCCTTGGCGTAAGCTGTCCTCCTGTCTCAGCCTTCCATGTAACTGGGTCTACAGGCATGCTCCATCACCCCAGGCTTACTTTTGAATTTGTTTTGAATAAAGTGAAAAACAAGCAGGCTAAGAAATGAGTCAGAATTTCACGCCAAAAAGTTAAATTCAAATCCTATTTTTCATAAGACACACAAGGGGATGGGCAAATAAATAAATGTGTAAAATTGTTCCTTAGAAATACACACACACACACACACACACAAGAGAGAGAAAGGATAAATAGTGTAAATGGATGTAACTAGCTGCAATGAAGTGAATTTTAACCTATGTAATATCTCTTCAGAGAAATTATGAAAGTACAGAAAAATTCAAAGCACCATGAAAAAGAGTTAATGTTTAACTATTTTAAGAAAAGAATTAGTGTTCAATGAGAAGACAAATATCAAAATGCTACATTTTTTAGATGAAGGAATGAATGAATAATAGCAGTGATTATTGCACACCAGGCACAGTGCTTAGGTACATATGAGTTTCCCCCAGTTCCCATATAGTAACACTGAGAAGGAGAAGGATTAACCTGCAAGCAAGTTATGTAGCAAATTTCAAATCCAGATCTGTGAGGGCATTTTAACCAGTTCTTCCTATGAAGAACCTAAAATTCATAAACATATGAATTAAAATGTTCAAAATGAAGATCAAACACCTTAACATTTAAAAATTTGATTTCAATTATATCACAATAACTACTGCCATTTATTATTTATTTATTTATTTATTGAGATGGAGTTTTGCTCTTGTTGCCCAGGCTCGAGTGGAATGGTGTGATTTGGGCTTCACCGTTACCTCCGCCTCCCGAGTTCAAGCGATTCTCCTGCCTCAGCCTCCTGAGTAGCTGGGATTACAAGCCTCCTCCACCATACCCAGCTAATTTTGTATTTTTAGTAAAGTCAGGGTTTCTCCATGTTGGTCAGGCTGGTCTCGAACTCCCAACCTCAGGTGATCTGCCTGCCTTGGCCTCCCAAAGTGCTGGGATTACAGGTGTGAGCCATCACACCTGGTCTTACTGCCATTTATTAAGCAAATATTCATTTCCACTCACTCTGCTAGATGATGTATACACACACACACACACACACACACACCCCAAGAGAGAAAGGATAGTGTAAATGGATGTAACTAGCTGCAATGAAGTGAATTTTAACCTATGCAATATCTCTTCAGAGAAATTAAGAAAGTACAGAAAAATTCAAAGCACCATGAAAAAGAGTTAAATGTTTAACTATTTTAAGAAAAGAATTAGTGTTCAATGAGAACACAAATATCAAAATGCTACATTTTTTAGATGAAGGAATGAATGAATAATAGCAGTGATTATTACACACCTCATTAAATGAGGTGTGTATATATATATATGATATGTATAGGTATATGTATATGATATATATGTAAAATCTAATTTAATGAGGTGTGTATATATATATGATATGTATATGTATTAAATGAGGTGTGTATATATATATGATATGTATATGTATATGATATATATATGTAAAATCTCATTTAATGTATGAAGACAGTTATGATTAATAAAAATCTTGCTCTTATAAATCAGAAAACTAAGGTGCAAAGAGGTTCAGCAACTTGCCTAATATACCACAGCTAGCACTAGCAAGGCTGGAATTTGAACTCAAGGCCACACATCAAGCCTTTTATTCTCTCCTGTGCTACATCTGCCAGTTGTTTTTATTAGTTTACTTTTACTCCTTTTGAAAAATCTCACTTTATTGAGGTGTGATTGACATACAAAAAGGTACATCTATTTAATGAATACCACTTGATGATTTTGAGATAAGAATGCACCT